GGCCCGGTCTAATGTTTTATGAATTCCACCTCCTGCCAATTCACGACTTAGCGCGACCACAAGACAATGTCTTCGGTGAATATTTGTCCTAACGCCCGAACTTCTCACCTTGTGACCGGTAGGTCCAAGGTTCGAGCCCCAGTAGGTGCATACTGATGGAAAGTTCCAAACTAGGACGAAACAGCTGTCCAGTACTCCCGAGTTTTTCAGTGGTTCATGACAAAATCCTGTGACCAATCAAATCGCTGCAAACCAACACTGGAATATCGTTGAATTGTCTTTTGTATTTTCTAACACTCTTCTCCACTTCTTTCTTCAGTACGTTGTGCACTGAACTCAGGATACGTTAACATATTAACTATCAATTCACTAGCACACATCTCACAGAAACTGTTTGCTATGTGGATTCATTAATGATAACAATTTTGAAGTTTTGTTTCAGTATCTGAGAAAGTTTGGTCAATCGTCGACCCAGCTGAAGAGGACAGCAGAAAACAGAACAAAGTAGAGATGTGTTGTTGAAGCCTTATGTTCCACTCGGAACTCAAGGGAATAATAATAACAATCTGAAAATACTACTGATGAGATTTACGCCTAGAGTAGAATTTAGATCCAGTGAAATCTTATACATTAGAGGGAAAAGAACAAGAAGTTCAACAAAGATGTCGATCTTTTCGGCGATTTCATTCTCAAAAGCAGCTGTACAATCGCATTTATATAGATTAGTTTGCATGGATACAATTAGTATTTATTTAATTCTACACATATCCCTGCGTAAATTCTGTTTCTAAGCCTCTTGTGTTTCATATCAAGTTGAAAATAATTGTCACCATTTATTCGCCGTTAAATTTGTTTCTCCAGTTGTCGAATATTAATTTTGCATACGTTGTTACTCTTTTCTAATCCTATGAAATCTTGCCTCTAAGCCTCTTGTAATCTATATTCGTACCTTCAAACTTTCATATCAAGTTGAAAATTATTATCTTCTTCGTTACTATGTGGAATTAAATAAACAATAATTGTATCCATTTAAACTAATCTATATAAATGCGATTGTACAGCTGCTTTTGAAAATGAAATCGCCGAAAAGATCGACATCTTTGCTGAACTTCTTGTTCTTTTCCCTATAATGTCTCGATGGGTATTTTCCACTGTTTGAAAAAATCTTATAAACACGATAAGATGCAGTGTTGATGAATTTATCATTGAAGTAGTCCGCTTCATGGAAAGTGACTGAAATTACCGCGTTACGACCGATGATTTAGATATATTTGGATGATTTGTAACTGGGAGGTCACTATCAATGTTTCACAGAAACAATTCATAAGCTGAGTGGATTCACTTGAGTTGGCGTCACAAACCAAAGTAACCTTTTCTTCACCAAAGGAGTGGAATAACGGCATTGTGGTATAACACAATTCATCTATAAGAAGTGTATTTGAAGTAACGCAGTGTTAAAGTAATATTAATTGGATAACTATTCCAGCACAATTTATTGTTCAGTATTACATCAGAGAAAAGGATGAGCAGCTTAGTAAAGACCAATTCATGGGAAATCACCAGAAAAATATCTTTGTTGAGATTATTGTCCTTTATATCAACCAGTCAATCGACACGTCACGTGTTGACCTGATGAATAAAGATTTCGAAATAAACGTATTTTAATTTTAACGCTCTAACCTCTTAGACTTGTGGATCCAAAAGATCCAGTTAAGTTTTAGCCTGATTGTCGTTGCTAATTCAATTGACAAAACAAAAGTATTTAAGGGGATTCAGTGCATTCTAACTAACCTTTTTGACTAACACACTTATTTGTTACTCAGATGAGTATTTGAAGGGATTTGATTAGTTACAAGATTTCATCATGAGCTGACATCGATTAGAGAACCTAGAAGTATTGGACATCTGTGTTATCCTAATCTGGTACTCTTCCTCAGTGTTCCGCATATATAGCTCAGGAAGTTGCTATTCAAAATAATATTCCAAAACTAGATGTTTATATAGCAGTTATACATCCCTTGTGTAGCGACCGAAACTGACTGTTTGCCATTTGAACGTGTCCTACTTGTATAGCTGACCAAAACCTTCCTTGAGACACACACAGATAGAGTTAGAAAACGCTGCAAACACAGCAAAAAGACGATTATTCTTTGTGGAATCGATGCGTGGTTCTATTCAACAATAACAACACCAGAAAAAAAAGAGATTACCACAAAAGTACCGTTTAGCAGCTGTACAGATAAGTACAAAACAAGCATTGTAGAACAAACTTAGTTTACCGAAACTCAACTGTAAGTAGTACTTTACGACCAAGAAGAATATCATTATCAGGTTGGGTTCAAAACTCTGTCTGAAAGAATCCCCAACAACAAATCCCACAGACACTCCAAGGTCAGAAGCACCCTAGTGCGCTCAAACAAATTCACAACATAAAACACTTTGCCAGTGCATCATACAGACATAAAGACAAGCATTCAATTGAGAGATGTAAGAGGAGTGAAGACAAATAATAAGGATGAAGTGAACATATGGTATTCAAATGTCAGATCATGGATATACGGTCCAGGAGAAAAACGAATAATAATTACAAAGTTAGTTGAAACATCCAATTATGCATCAATATTGTGACTTGATTGTTGAGGAGTGATTTTAGACATACTTCTGAGTCGAAGAGATGATGGTTCAACAAAACGATCAGTCTACAGAAAGCTCACTTGGATAGGGCAGTACCTTTATTTTTACAGTTTTTTTCCATTACAGTATACGAGAGGCTTAGTGAAATGTCTATTTAAGAGGATACACCGTATTTACACTGCCAATGTTATAGACAAAGAAAACGAAATATTGATAGATACTCTTGTTGAAAACGGATTTCCTTCAAAATTTTTAAACAGGTGTAGAAGTCAGTTAGTCTCTAAAATTACAATCTATACCACCCCCATGAAAAATGTTTTCATTGAATTACCATATAATGGGGAAATAAACAATTGGATTTTGAGGCGAAGGTTAAATTCGGTCATCTGTAGGACCTATTGTGCAGCCCAGCTTGTAATTATCGAAAGAGCTAAAAATATGCTCCACTGCATACCTAAAAAGTGCATCAGTAATCATGTCACATCCCACACTATTAACCAATTTTCGTGTGTGTGTGTGGACATACATACATAGGGAGGAGTAATCGCGCTTTGCATGTGATGGTGGGAGAGCATATCCCAAAATGGCTCAAAAAACATGTGAATTGTGGAAAATCAACAGACACAGGTGGCAGACTACCAACTTCGTCTTTAGCTAAACATCTAATCGAGATGAACCATAAGACTGACGTTAATTCAGCCTTTAAGGTCATCTATAAAAACGGTCAAGGGTGTTTGCTGAGATACGCTGAGGTTATAGCTATTCATAAACTTAAGCCCCCTCCCTGTGTATTCAAAAACAGTTTGTTATTAATCTTAACCTACCTCGGTAGTCCTTATTCGGTTGGATTACCAAACGTTATGTTAATTATTCTTAATTCTTTTTTTGTCACTTTGTTTATTTTATCTTTTGACAAGTAAATGTGTCACCAGACTGTTCGAAATTTTTCAGGCAATCTCCGTCTTCCAATAACGCTATCCAAAGTGATTTTCTTATCAATCTTTTCGTTACAACTTGACTATAGAAAACTATCTGGACATGGCCCCTCTCACTTTATTGATTTTAAATCACTTTGTCTCCATTTTCTGTTAGCACGTCTATGACCTTTAGATGCTCGAACATTTGTTTTTATGGTCACGTTGTTTTCTCTATTCTACCCGTTACACATTTCTCCATTGTTTCTTATTGCTGTCACCATTATTTTAGATAAAATAATAAGGATATTTTTGTTTTCTGGACCGTGTAAAATATTTCCACAGCAAATTTGTCGTAAGAATTTACATGATAAGATTAATAAAGCGTTTAAGGAGTGAGAGAATGTATATAAGTAAAGTTAAATGGCTATATATATAAGGTCAGAATAACAATGAAGATCATTGCTGAAATATAAAGGGGAGATAATAACACACTGATCTTGGTTCCATAACAAAACTAATCGTTGGAGGTTCATTGTGATGGCTAGGGCTTCCTCAAAATGTTCTTATAGATAATTTAAAAGAACGGAGATAAGACTTTTTATGTTCTGTGTCTATAATATACCTAGCAACTGAACAACTTGGAGATTTATTTTGCTTTTGAAACTACTTAGAAATACAGTCTAAAGCTCATACTTGCAGAGACTGTGTAACTGAATGTAGTTTTAAGTCGATGATTCCTAGGGGATATAACGTAATCGTTCACCTTTTTGAAGGAATAAGATGGTTCTATAAGCTTCACATTCTCAGTTATCTGAATCTTAGGTACCTAAAAGCCTTTTTGCCTACAGCTTGCTAGCCTTGTAACTGGAAGTTCCTGGGTTTGAACCTTGATGGTGGGTGGGTACCGCCGATGGTTCCCAAACTAGGATGAAACAACTGGCTGTCCAGTACTCCAGTACAGGTTTTCAAAGGTTCTCTAACTGACATCAATCCGTGATCAACTCGTAAAAACAAAACTAACCCTTACAAAACAAACTATGGGAAATTTCTAATTGAATTTTGATTTTCTCACAGAACGATATGTTCGGCTTCATTTAACACATCGCCTTCTAGTAACAGATTTTCGCTGCACTAGTGATGACTCTTGTGGTCCAAATTGTCTAAGGAATTACGCTTTGATATTTCAAAAAATGGGTACTAGGTTTTAATTCGCGATGAGAACACCATTATCACTCACTGAGAATGCAGGTACAGCCAGACAATGAGTGCCAAATAGGATGAAGTATATATTGCGGAATCCGCTGCTAGTCACCATTTTGAGAAGATAAATCTCTGTTCCGCGTAGTTGTCAACTAGACGTTAGGCATATATGCCTGACCGTTTTAAGAGTGAACTGGTTATGGCAGTCGAAATACCATTTCTTTCAATCGATTACACAACTATGAATGACAAGGTTCCTTAAAGAAGTTCTACTTATACATAAACATATATATTTATTTACAAAGACAGTGTACTGTAGTAATATAAAATACTTTTTTTTGCTTTAAATTATCAGTTTAAAACTAAAACGAGACAATTTTTCAATGCATAAATCTCATTAGAATATAAAACAGAAAAAACAAAAAAAAGAAAGAAGAATGAAATCGGATCACATTATTTTTAATGCACTAACAGTAAGATGCATAATTTAAAGTTGTCGCCAACTGGTTCGATTGTTTTAATCCATTATAATGTAGTGAATAGTTTGAAACTGTAAAAAAAGGATTTGTTCTCATTGTGCTTCTAATTCATTCGGTTTGGTTGATGCTTTTCGACCCTTCGTCGTTTGCAGTAATATCATAATTGACAAAATAGTGAGAGCTTTCTGCCTTCTTTGTTGAGCGCCTATGAGAAGAAATAAAATGGGAGTAAAATTTTAGTATTTGCGTTAAAGGGTGATAAAGTGTGATACCAAAATGGCGGATAGTGATTAGGAGTGAAGTCGAAGATCTGTATTTTATCCTGTTTGGAAGTCACTAGCTGGATGTACGTGCTTTGGCTATCAGAATGATAGGCGCTGGGTTCGAGTATCAATAGGGAGATCATTACTCATTGTGGATTTCAGGTACATCAGGATGACGAGTTATCGATAGGAAGAAGTACACATCCTGGATTTTACTGACAGCCACAATCTACCAAATAATATCATGTTAATCTTCAGACATCGCTGAAGTGTCCATACTAGGAGTGGAGATGTCAGTTGAGTTCGAATATTTAGTTCGAATTAATGAGCCGGCAAAACGTATTCGACTGTAAAAGCGTAACAAATGATCATAAAATCAGCAAACGTTCCAGTATAAACATTTTTAATAAAAATAATACTGATCAAAGAAATATTTGCCTTTCGGTTAAATCTTTGTTAACGTCCTCTTCAGATTTCTTCTGTTTCTAGGTGGAAACATGCAGTATTACATTTGCTACTGACTGGAAAGGGTAGTTTGGAATCCTTTTTACGTCAGAGTGCTGTGGTCTGCCAGATATCAATGTTTATTTACCTGTTTCAGAAGTCAACATCATTATAAACAGCAGAGTAGGTCTGCACCACATGAATTATTACAAACTCTTAAGTCGAGTAGGTACGATATTTTGTACACAACATTCACTTTCGAAGTAGAAAATACACTATAAAATCTCATTGCTTTTTCTAAAGCAAAATAGAAATACTGGGATTTGATTAGGGTAATTCATCATGACCTGATATCCATTAGCGAGCTATTGAAAAACTTGGGAATAGTTTAAAGCTGTTCCGTCCTAGTTTCGGATTAATCATCAGTATCCACCCACCGCCAGGTTTCTAGCTCAGGACTTTGAAGTTATGAGTCAATGTAGTAGTAGACCATTCAGCCACCGAGAGCCAAACCACTGGCCTGCTAATGAATTCTAACTGCAACCAATTTAGGATTTTAGTGCGACTCACACCAGCCAATAGCATCATTGGAGGGTGTTTGTCCTCATCAGCGATCTGATGAAATCCACTGGTCACGACTTCTAGCTAGAACCCCAAAATTGCCATCCTGTAAACAGTCACTAGCAAGTATATGGCGTCTTACGTTTAGTCCCAGTGGACGAATGGTCTCAACAGTCCACTATGTAACTGGAAGATCCTAGGTTCGAAACTTGGAGGGGGAGCAAACTTCCACTGAGTCCCAAACTAGGGGAAACATCTGGTTCTTCAGCTGAAACTAGTTCGTCGTCAAACTTGAAATTATTTTATTTCTGGAGAATACTTCATAATAATTGACCAAGGCACGTTTAACGTTAGCTTCCCTTTTTATTTATTTTCTTGTCTGTTTTAAATGCCCTGTAAATATAAAGTACCTTTTGGAAGGTGTTCCACCCAGGAAGTTGGTCCTGAGCTGAAAATACTTCCATTTCTATCAGTTTCATTTTGACACATAATAAGTTTGAATATTCCCCATAATATATTTAGGTAAAGAAAAAAAATTCGAGTGAACAACTGTGATTTCAATAACTTTGTCTTCTTGAAGCTCTACACATTTATAAATCCATTAATGTTAGAATACAACAGCACTCACTGGTAAAGGCATATGTAAAGTATGTCACAAGTTGTATTGTAGTGTATAAAAATAAACTGGAATAATAGTTCATTGGTTTTAGTTGTCATCAAAGTGCATATAAAATGTACAGTCGTTGGGAATATAAGATCAAATGTGAGTAAACAATTTAATTGACATGCTAATGTACTTATAATCACCAAAAATAGATCTAATGCTCACTAGCAACTGGCCCTATTCAAGCAGTTAACATGAGGTTCTAGTTAGAAGCCATGACCAGTAAGGTACACCAGGTTAAAGGTGAGGCAGTAACTCATCGAAGAAGACATTGCTAAGTGGTCATGAATTGGCAGAAGTTAGAATACATGGACTAGCAATCGGATTGGGTCCCAGTGGCTGAATCTTCTACGAGCTAGGTTGCCTTGTAACCAGAGGGTCTTTGGTTCGAACCTTTGCGGTGGCTACGTACTGATGAAGAGTTGCAAACTAAGAGGAGATAGCTGTCCAGTACTTGCTGGTGGTATTAAAATGGTTCTCTAACTGATGTCAGCTAATGGAGAAATTCTTCAACCAGTCAAACATAACCCTATACAAACCAGCACTTAAAAATCGGATGTCCGAAGAGGCTGAGATACATTCAGTGGTGTGAAGGAAAATATAAATACTACAATATATAAACATATAAATGGGACACATTGAAGGGATGACGAATAACAAATACTATTTCATTTTCATGCCAGTACAATGATATATATATATATATATTTATGAATTAAAATAGACAGTAACAACCAGTTTTCTGGTATGTAAAAGTATGCTGATGAGTGGCAGTAGCAAAGTGTGATAATATTAGTGTATGTGCGTCAGTGGCACAGTGATAGAATGCTCACCAGCCAAGCGGATGATGCGGCGTTTAACCCCCGGCCGGCGTACTTGTTAACCTCGCTAAGTCAGTAATATGAATGGTAAAGAGGGAAGGTTGGGCTTGAGACAAGCGACACCATCCCGTAAAAGTCAACATCACTGTTACGGAAACTTCAAAGCTCTAGCTTGAAGTAGCCCTTTGTTCCACTGGACAGGTAAAGGAATAAAAAATATATATTCGTGTATATGATTGATTATATGCTACGAAAACTGATGTTCGGATAACATCCTGAAAGTATTCACTGACAGTCATCCTGCTATCCACTTCCCTTAAGGGAAAGAAACTGACAAAAAAATATCTCCCCTTGATGTGCTAAACATAAGGACAGCTGGTGAGTGGTTAAAAAATTTATTTATATAAAATCGACGTAGACAGGATAACTGACCAATTATTACAGGAAAAAATAATTTTATGCGTTCTTTCTCAACACGATTCCGGATAATTTGTAAGGAAGTAGTGTTGATGATGACCTTAGACAGCTGAAAGACACAGTAATGGAGAATGACTATCTAGTACACTTCTTCGAGTGCCATAGCAAATCACGTGAAAGAAATACACAGAAAGACAGGGTAGCTAAAGAGAGTGTTGAATCTAAACTTTGAATTCGGAGGTGACGCTGTGAGTGAAGTATTTAGAAATCGGGTGACAAGATCATTGAGAAAAACGTCCTTTTAGACGAATAACCTATTCTAGCTATCCACCGGTACACCTTGATATTAAGACTCTGCAAGAACTGATGCGGAATCATGCTGTTGCTAGTGACAAGCAAAATATTAAGTGGTGTATACCTGGAGAGTCCGAAAGATTACTGAATACACAACTCCACCAACCCAGTACAAGCTAGGATCAGAAAAAACATGTGTTGATCGAATTGTAACTCTACGCAACATCATCACAGGACAGAGCGTAAAATGGCGGTTAAACCTCTGCCTCAGTTTCACCGACTTTGAAAGGCTTTCGAACTTGGAGCGATTGAGAAACTACCTGAACACTACGGATTGCCCCCAAACCTCTACCAACATCATTCAGCAGGTATATAACAACGCCACATGTTGGGTGATCCACAACCGAAAACTCATGGAGGCATTCGAAGTGAATACAGGAGTTAGACAAAACTGCCTGACTGGATTATGCGATAAACTGTGAAGAATGAAAAGATAAGAATAGGATGTACCGGTAAGAATACTCTAGAAGATCTCGATTTCGTAGATGACTTATTTTTAATGTCACACAAACTCGATAACTTGCAAGCAAAACTCAAGAAACTGGCGGAAGAAGCCAAAAGCAAAGATAACACTCCGGGTGAACGAACATAGAGAACACCGAAATGATGAAGATAACCGATCAACAACAAACAACACCAATCACTATCAACGGAAGAAATTTGAAAGAGGTGACATCATTCACTAATGTTGTCGTCATCATTTCAATCAGAGGTAGTCAGCACGAGTAAGGTTGTGAAAATCAAAATCGGAAAGGTAACACAGATATGCACCACTCTGGAATCAATTTGGAAATCTACGGTAGATCTATTTGGATCAGAAACTTGGCAAACCCGTTACTTAACGCATATCCTATAGGCTATTGTAGTCTTTCATCAACAAGTGCCTTTACTTCCTTGACTCTGAAAATCAAACGCAAGTCAGAAAGCACTGACAACAATAAACTCTGGGAATGAAACGACCAAGAACTTATTGCTTAACAAATATTTAGGTGAAAATGAGGTATGGACTTGTAACCGGCTGAAGAGAGCATCCGGTGATGAAACGCCCCAGGCAGTCGCCGCAGTAAAGGCTGAATGCGAAACGACAAGTTGGGCGTGTGTCCGATGAAAATATGGGGGGGGTGGGACCATGAGAGAAGGAAATTAGAGTCTATGGGCAACCATGATGCCAGATGAAGGGGACAGCAGAGAATAGGTTAAGATGAAGATGTACTACGGTACCCCGAAATTCATGGATTTATAAGTGGGATTAATCTGAAGAAAACGAAGTTAGTCAGTAAGGTATCGTGCCCAAAATAATTGAAGTTTATAAATGCCTTGATGACTGACAATCAGCAGTTATAACCCTTGCATTCTAATTAGTTTTAAAAGGTTAAAAGGGATTTTTTTCCCTTTTTATTTCCCAGTATAATTTATCATTTCTTTATTTCAGGTAAGAGTTATACAGTTAAAAAATTAAGAGGGCTTTCTTTCGGTACACAGGAATACAATGACAAAAAAAAGACTATTAATTCCACGCAAAGCAACAGTTAATTAAATTATTATTTATTGACGAGAGAACTCCTCGCATAGCGACCTCAAAACGTTATACGAGTAATGTCAGAGAAAAGCCATTTTTTATGGGAAAAGAATGGGATAGTAAAAAATACATTGGGGATAATGAATGGGTGTTTTGTGTTTAGAGAGCGAGAGAGTGGGAGACAGAAAGTAATGAATGTGAACTTTTTCAAGGTGAAGTATATTCATATTAGTTTCTAGTGTATTTTCTTCAGTGTGTAGATAATGTAGTGTAAAATGAAGGCATTACACTTATGTTTTTAGTTGTTAAGCTGGTTAAGGGAAGATAATCATAAGAAAATTCAAAACAAACAGCTTAGAAAGTTTAGTCTTAATGTAATCACTATTTTAGTCTAACAAAAGTGGCATCATTTCTACAGGCGTGTACTGTGTAGTAGCAGAATCGAAGAGACGACTTCTGATGAAAATATAGGAGACAGAGGTGAAGTTACAAAATAAACGAGAGCAACAACAACAAACACCAATCACTGTCAATGGGAGTAATCTAAATTAGATCAATTCTTCCGGCTATCCAAGTGGCATCGTTTGAACTACAAGCGCAAGGTACAGACAATGGCGTCAAAGCCAGGTGGGATTAGAAAGGCAAGACAAACCCCAACTTACCTGAGATTAGTGTTGAAGTTTAAAAAACTGAGAATAAAGAAAAAGGTCTGTGCTTTTAGCATCAATGTCCGGTGAGTCACAGCTTTTATAGGATTCAGACAGCTGGTGTATCATGAAAAGTTATTATAACAAGCTGTTACGAACTTTATT